CATCAGTATGCCCCATAAATACTACTGATATGAAACCCAGATTTTGTTTCGTGTTTGAAATACAATGTCGTTCGTCAATTATGAGGCATTGAAGACAACATAACCATTTCAATAAATCTCAAAAATCTCACCCGAGGCAATTCCACAAATCATTTACGATGTGAACCTCAATCTTAATGCTGGACAATAAATGTATTGACATCTACATTTTATGACCGAACTAAAAAAAAAAAAAAAAAAAAAACTCGATACATGGACATTCTGCCTTTCCCAGTGGTTCATGCCGGGCTGAACATGTAGAAAAGTTTGGAAGATGTATGAAGTGAGGAATTGAGCGTCTCCGCAGAAGCATGAATCATGCTGCATCATTCACCAACAAACAAATGTCATCTCTCCACCCAACCCGGCAGCTTCATCATGCTAAAGCTCCTGACAGCAAAGGAACATAAAATGAGCGGCCCAATTCGTCTCCCCAAGGCAACATCACTCCATCATTCCCCTACTTCTTTCCCCCCCTCCATCGAGTGCCTGGAAGAGAGCGAAGATAAAAAAAAATCCTTTGTTCACCTCAGGGAGTAGGGGCAGGTGCTTGAAGGTATGAATGCGATGACGGCTTTGTTTCTATTCGGTTGTTAACAAGACAAACGTCAGTGCTGTTTACAGCAACTTATTCTTCTTAATTCCTGTGTCATTATTTGGTTTGACACTCTGGATCCGGGATAATCTAAATATAGTTCTGCATGTTTTCTCATTTAACTTTCATTTGCAATGTCCTATTCATGAACAGATTCATATACATACTGTAACTCTTTAAAGGTTTTTTTAAAGGGGTCATATGATGCGATTTGTCCTTTCCTTTAGTGTGTTACAAAGCTCAAAGTCTCCCACAAAAGGATTTATTCTATCTAAAAGAGAAGGCTGATCCAGACCGGGCTAAAATGCCTCATTCAAACACGCCCCCACATCTCTACGTCACGGTGTGGAAATATTTGTAATGCCGCCTAAACGTTAATGCAAAGAAAGAAGCCGTGGTTTCAGGAGCACAGTAGTGTTGATGCAGCCATGTCAGGGAGACTCTGTGTGATTCTGTGCGAAAGCAAAAGCACTTTATTTGGCCTTCCGGAAGTAGATGCAATGAGGAATCATTGGTTAAGATTTATTAACCAATGAACAGCACAACCCTGATGTTTGAATTTGTGCAACGCATTTTATGGACGACAGTTTTGTAAAACTAGGAGAGTAGCCTACAAGGCTGGCTGTGCAAAGGCTATTTCGAAAAAAAAAATGGGTCAATTCTGACTTTGTTATGACAATCAGGCACTTATTCTGAATCAGCTACTGTAAGTATGTTTTCTTAATAGTTTAAGTATTTGCTATTGACTGTTTAAATGTGGAGTTTTGCACCGTGTAGAGTATTGCGTCGTGTGTGTGTGCGTGAGAGAGAGGGGGTCACATCACAGTGGAGTCAGCTTTCTTAATCGCGGCTTGTGTACTGCAAACACATACGAGCATCATCACTGTGTCTGTCACTTTACTCTGTTCCCCTTTCAGGCTTGAACTGATGGTAAAATTAAGGACATTATTTACTGTCTTTACATTTATGTTGAAAGCTGAAGCTCGCGATTATGGAAAGGGGCGTTACATTTCCGACGCGTGCTTGTGGTGTTCGGCCAATCACAATGCACGGGGTCAGCTGGCCAATCAGAGCAGACTGCGCTTGTCGGAAGGCAGGGCTTTGTACAAAACGACGCGTTTGAGAGAGGCGGGGCATAGAGGAACTACAATAATGTACAGTATTTGAAAAATAATGTGTTTTTTTAACATTAAAGCATGTCAACATATTCTGTTACACCAAATACACAAAATAATGATCTTTAAAATAGCATCATATGACCCCTTTAATAGGTTTTAAATGGATAGTTCAGCCACAAATTAAGTGGCAGTTTCATTTAATCAACCTTATATAGTTCCAAACCTGTATGACTTATCTTCTTCTGTGGAACTAAAAAATATATAATAAATAAAAAAAAATATATATATATAGATAGATTTTTATTTTTTTCCCCATACAAGGAAAGTCGATGGGGTCCAAAGAGTGTATGGGGGAGAAAAAAAAAAAAAAAAAACAGAAACATTTTTCAAAATATACAAGAGTTCAAAAGTTTCAGGTTGGTAAGATTATTTTTTTTTCCTGTTTATGAAATATAAGTCTCTTATGCTCACCAAGGCTGCATTTATTTAATTAAAAATACAATAAAATACAGTAACATTGTTAAATATTATCACAATTTTAAATAATATTTCTATATTTCTATATAATTTAGCTTTACTATCACAGGGATAAATCAAACTGCAAAATAGATTTAAACAGAAATATTATTTAAAATTGTGGTAATATTTAACAATGTTACTGTATTGTATTGTATTTTTAATTAAATAAATGCAACCTTGGTGAGCATAAGAGACTTAAAAAAAAAAAAATAATATATATATATATATATATATATATATGTATATGTATGTATGTACAGTATGTGTGTGTGTGTGTGTGCGTGTGTGTGATCATTAGTAAAGGATAACATCCTTGTTATATAAAATAATTTATTTTAAAAATGTTATTTTCTTTGGCATTCCACAGAGGAAAAAAGTCATACAGGTTTGAAATAAAAAAAAAACCTTTGCTTTCTCTTTCCTTAATCCCTCTGTCTAGTACTTGTACTAATCTGAATAATGTCTGAAACGTTGTATTACGAGCACTTCTTGTGATGAATCGCTTGTTGTATTCTTCAATTGTAAGTCGCTTTGGATAAAAAACATTTGCTAAATGAATAAATGTAAATGTAAATTATGACAAAATGTTTCTTTTTTGGTGAACTATCCTTTAAATCTCTAATATCCTGTATACATACAACATCTCTTTAAAGGGGTCTTGTGCTAACGCAGGCCTCTAAGCTTCAGATTGGGCATCCGGCCAACAGGAAGCTCTCACAAAGGGTGACGGAGAGTGGGCGGCCATGCACTGGCTCCTTTAAAGGAACAAAATGGAGTTTGTCAGACAGATGGATATAATTCAGTCATTATACTCACACTCGGCTTTCAGAACAATACAATTACTATGCTGTACTTCACCTTGTGACCTCAAAACGTCAAGCAGAGCAAGAGCTTCACATTCTTGATCTTAAAAAGGAAAGGAAAGTCTAGATTGTTTATTCTGAATAAAATAAACTTTGAGAGGAGATTTGGTTTAGAAGATTGGTTTGAAAATGCTCTATGCACTATGAGCTAGTGTCTTCAGAACAAGTAAGCACAGATTGCAGTCAAAGACTTCTGCTTTAAAGGTCCATCTGGTCAGCTTCTTCAGATCACACATTAACAAGGCATAAGCTGTTGGCTGCAGCCTCATTTATCACTTCCTTTTCAAACCAATTACACATCCACCGGGATGCTGGGAATGCAAAACATCCTGAACTGATCTGAATTAAGATGGTTTCGCAGACTGCTTTAGCCATCACAAATTAAAAAGTAGAAAGGCCGACTTCCCTGCCAATGTTTTATTGACTTGTTACACACGATAATGAAGTCAAAAAGAAAACCGCTGGTACCTGTGATACAAAGCCACAGATACTTGTTTTCCTCGAGTAGAGAGGACAGTTAATTATGACTGACAGCTATGACCTCAGAATATGCGGCATGGCTAATCTAGGCACGTTTATTCAAGTCTATCCTCTTATTATCCTGATGTAGATCCTCCTTTCCTGTGAGAATGTAATCCAGTCTTTAATATAATTGGCTTGGATTGTATGGTTTCCCACCTCAAAACGCTGGATGTTCACGAGGCAGAGCAGCATAAGGCAGTGGGAAGTAGAGAAACACAAACAGTAGTGCGGTTCTGCTGTTTTCTGGCAGGGATTTCAGGACCGCGGACAGCTACCGGAGCAAGGCCAAACTCTGTCAGCCTTGAATCATATCATGTCTATATTATGGCCTGCTCATTAAGCCCCACAAATTCTGCTGTTAATGCATGCACACATACACACACAAATGCATGCATACAAGCTGACAATTGAACAGTATTTATAGGAATTTAGTTTCTTCTATATTAATACGCAGGCTTCAATAGTAACATTAGCAATTTGTCAGTTATATTGTATACATATTTAATATGTTTATATGCAAGAACTGTGTGTGTGTGTGTGTGTGTGTGTGTGTGTGTATATATATATATATATATATATATATATACAGGTAAAATAAATAAGTTAGATATAGTGTAAAATTAATGTAAAATGCTATGGTACAACTTAAGTACACATCATATTTACAGTAAAAAATAATAAAAACAATATAAAATAATAAAACATATATACATATTTTATATTTTTTAGGTAATGTGATTTTTTTTATGTTTATAAAATGATACATAAATGGGTCTGACCAATCAAATAAGCAAAGAAGCAACAGCCTGCATCTCTGCCTCCAGCACTATAACCCTCATTCTAACCAAATCTAAACTGATAACATCCGAATAACGGTTCATTTTTATTCTTACGTAATAAATTGTATAAAAATATGACGAACCGAATCATGCCAAAAAAACGGATGTCATATCACATTGAGACTGAATGAATGAAAGCATGAATGAAAGAAAGATTCGACCGCAAAGATGGAACACTGTGCAGTTGTCAATAGCGCACACACACACACACACACACACACACACACACACACACACACACGAGAGATAAAGACTGTGGAAAAAAAGCTCACAGCCGGTGAGAGAACGCTTCAGTGCATATGTATATGAATATACTGAACGACTGTTCAAATTACACAAGTATGTGACCTTTTTAATTACTACACTTGTATTTTAAGTGCCCTTAGACGTTAAGGGCGCAATATCCACTATGCTTTTAACCCAACTGACGGTAACCGGATGCATTAGGTATCAGAAAGACGTCAAAGTGTCCAGTGATGCCAATATCAAACCACGACTGACTTACTTTCTCAATCTGTGAGGTTCAAATTGCTGGCAAAATCACCGTTCCGTTCGCTTCCAAAGCACGAAAATCCATCTGCAATTCTCAAGCAACGAACGAGATGTTCTTCAGCGTGTACTTTGGGCTATCCAAGCTATCCAAGAGCAGTTTTGCATTCACAAGCTTCTATGAGAAGAAATTCGCTCCTGTATATCCATTCGGTCTTCCTGTCGGTGCCATGATATGGACGAGTGCCTCTAGAGCAGATATCTCGATGCTTTCTTGCCCCGCATCATCAAAATCCGGTGTACCAAATCTTTTTTCCTGCTGATAAATCAATTAATTCGTCGTCTTCCTGGTTTTGCCATTCATTCTTGGCGTTTAACAACAAAGATTTGGGGTTTCAAATTCAGCCAATACGCATCTAGATGGGGTTTATCCCTGAGATGGACCATTCCCTGCATCTTCTTCTTCATCCCAATCTTCAACAGACCATAAACGCAGACCGCTGATGTTCTTATTCCACAGACATGGTTTAAAACCGAACTTTTCTTCCTCCTTTACGCACCCGATCTGATTAGATTTCTACTCACAGCCCAGTGCGGATTTCAAGATGCTTATTTCCTTGAAATGTGATTTTGTCCTACGGAATGCCTTGAGAGAGGAGCCTCGTGCGTTGGCAAAGGCAAATATTCGTATATCACATCCTATCCAAGACCACCAGAATCATTTGGAAAGGGAAAAAGGGAAAAATCCTCCAAGTTTATTTTTTGTTTTCAGGAAAGTGGATGAAAATGCGCCAAATGTGAGTCAAATCCGTTTTTTTATTGATTTTTTTTTTAGTTAAATGACAGATAAATATACTAACCACAGTCGTAGTTCCTTTTCAAATTCGTATAAACGTGTTATAGACGAGGTATTCATCAAAAGCTACATCCCACCAGATACTCAATACAGTTCAACTCAACTCCGGCAAAAAGCAATCCAGTGACGCGACGAAAATCCACGCGAATGATGCTGCGCTCCGCGCCAAGATGTGGAATTGCGCAGCGCGCGAGAGCCGAACGTAGAACAGCTACAAGTGATTCACTCCGCGAGCAGGAGCATCTAAAGAGGTGAGACCAGTCGAATACTGTACGTCGAGATCTCGTCGGTGAATGAAATTCTAGTGTGAAGTATCTAGTGTGGTTACCAATGACGCGCGGCTCTCCGTGGGTATCGGCTCAGCGCGCTCCGCTAGTGACACCAAGAATCTTCTAAAACGAATTGATGTAGCCCTCAGCCCAAAGTCTCACTCTTCTGACTGTCCTCACTGGCGTCTTTTTGGATGCGTAAAAGTCAATGGTCCAATAATCTTTTTCCATCTTACCAATGATTGGTCGAGTGCAATAACCCTGAACGCCATAGATTATATGACGAGGTCTGTAGCGCCTGTTTGACGCACACATGTGCGTGTGTGATTGTGTATAGCCTGTGTACTGAGTATGAGTGTTTTATGCGCTGCTTCTTCCCGTCTAGTGCAGAAGGGACAGGACTGCCATCTACCGGCGCTCCATCCCCTGTCTAGACGCTGAACTCAGCCATACGACCACCTGAGCCTTTCAAAAAAAAAACAAGCATGTAATTTTCAAATACAGATCATAGGCACGTTCTAGTGACCTGTATACGCCTCCAATGGTTATGCAGTTCGTAATATACAGTATGCTATACGTTCAGGGGGACTGTAGTACACAAACAGACCTCAGATCGCATACCTTTCTACAGTAAAGTGGTACATTTACAGGTAGATTAGAGATGGAGGAGAATGCACTGCAAAGAAAGAAAGAAAAAGAACAATTTATGAAATCAAATAAAATAAATGAATGGCTTCAAATTAAAGTTAAAGTGGATCCAAAGTGACAACCTGCACTTTTTGACCACTTTTAACTGCATAATGGCAGAGAAAATTGAGTTAAGCTCTCAAAACGCATAAAAAAAAAAAAATTACATAAATTGTTGTGACAAGTTAAATGGTTGGAAACAAAGATGCTATTATAACGGCAAAGGAAGAAATATTAAATGTATAATAAATAAATAAATAAATATATATATATATATATTTAAAAAGCTGTGATGTTACTGTATATATAATCATGTTTCACATACTATAAAATGTATGTTTTACATATATATATACATATACATTGAAACAGTATATATTTACCATGTTTTATGATTCAAGATACATTTTATTAGACCATAATTTGGATTTGGATACGCCCATTGAGTAGATTGAGAAGATTAGCCTTGAATATTTTGGTCTGTTTCCCCAAAAGAGAAAGAATGTGAATTTTAAATGCGCATATCCTCTTTTAAAAGCAGTTGGTCTCAAAATTAATATACTAAAACTGAAACTCATTTTTGAAGGAATAGTTTATCAAAAAATGTCAATTTCCTAAAGATTTACTTACCCTCAGGCCATCCAAGATTTAGATGAGTTTGTTTATTTATCAGAACAGATTTGGGGAAATAGCATCACATCACTTGCTCACCAATGGATCCTCTGCAGTGAATGGGTGCCGTCAGAATGAGAGTCCAAACAGCTGATAAAAACATTACAAAAATCCACAAGTAATCCACACCACGCCAGTCCATCAATTAAACATCTTGTGACGCTAAAAGCTGCATGTTTGTAAGAAAAAAAAATCCATCATTAAAATATTTTAACTTTAAACTGTTTAATCTAGACAAAATGTGAGTCCATAATCCATAATAATGCTTCCTCCAGTGAAAAAGTACATCCCCTGCTGTCCTCTCACATAAAGAAAACATAATTTTAGCCGGAAGTGACGGTTTGAAGTTAATCTTAATGATGGATCTGTTTCTTACAAACATGCAGCTTTTCACTTCATAAGACATTAATTAATGGACTGGAATCATGTGGCTTATTGTGATGTTTTATCAGCTGTTCGGACTCTCATTCTGACGGCACCCATTCACTGCAAAGGATCCAGTGGTGAGTAAGTGATGAAACGCTACATTTCTCCAAATCTGTTCTGGTGAAATAAACTCATCTACATCTTGGATGGCCTGAGGTACAGTACATTTTCAGCAAATGTGGGGTGAAGTATTCCTTTAAGCGTTATTTTCAAAAAAGTGTTCTTCTCTTTGACTGAGTAAATCCTGAATTGCATGTCATAAAACACTTCCAAACTTTTGAGTGAAATTTCACAAAACTGTATTCTCATTCCTTTAGCGGAGTATGCTTGTCAGCATCTCGTCACATCCTCGCGCTTCACGGGCATCTCGTCATTTATCTGTCCGCGCGCCCGTCCACCTGCCCATCAAGCGCAGCCAAATAAGCTAAATATGGGTGAAGATCAGCTCCTCCTCTCCTGCTGTCTGATTGAGTCATTCTAATTGTTTGACATTAAAGGGCAGGTGTGTTTCTTTGACTGACAGTCCAGTCTTCATCGCAGTCTATTCACACACAAGCTCCAAACATTCAAATGCATATGCCCCTTAAACACAGGGCCCACTTAACAACAGCTTTAACAACATTTCACAAAAAAGCATCTCTGAAACATAAATACATTATATCTGACAGCTCCAGGTTGACTTATATGCCCACAGCATCGTGATGGCGAGGTAGCCTTGTTATGACAGCCTTATCTAATGGTCCAGATTTAAAGCTTTCATTTTACAGCCCTCCGATGATTCTCCTGCAACCACTACATTTCACTTAGGATGTTATTTGCTCTGTGGGAACCATCTGAATGACCATAACATCTATCTTAATGCAACCATTCATTTCTCTACAGGGACACCAGAGGAAGAGGTGATTGACGGAACATTTTTATAGCAAAGTGCTTTCAATTTACTTCCAAGCAGGTTGAGCTCAAAAGAGAAAACGCTGAATTAAATTAAATCATGCCGTTACCTTACACTGGCTATAATGTGCAAGTAGACAGACTGTCAATAGTCGACCTTTATATAGGTACACATGTTAGCACAAAACAAGACCTTGGTCATTTCGCATCATGTAACCATATAAAACAAAGGTTTGAACATTTTCTGAACAAAATATGAGTGGTACTGATTTTATTTATTTATTTCGCTCATTGCTACACGTTTGCTATGGTTTTTAAGGTTATTGGCCAAAGTAAAACAGCTACTTGATTTAATACGTCTCCATAAGATCTATTTGGAAAAAAAAGAAGTGTGATTCCATAGCCAAAGTATTAATATATTCAATAAATCATATTCTTTAACAACTTTACACTGTTTTGGCAGCATAAATGCAATCTAATAATTAATTAAAACATTTATACATTAAATAATAGCTACTAAAAACAAAAAATGTGGCAAGTTATTAAATTAATTCATTTTACATTTACAAAAATACTACAACATTCACAATGTGCATTTTTACCTACACATTGTCAGATGAACAACTAAGTCCACAACTACACTACAATTCTACAATTGTACATTTGTACAATTGTACAACTTCAATTCACTTAACTTGTGTTTGATTCACTAAAATAAACAGGCTCATAAGAATCACTCGCTCTGGAATTGATCCGATTACACTGGTCATGCTGTATGTGTCTGATTCACTAAAAATAATTGATTCATAAGAGTTATTTGTTCAGGAACGCAATAGAGTAATTAAAATAGCAAAATTAGACCAGAAACAATTGCTTCTAAACAAACACAAATGCGGTAAGGTAGTATTACATTTGTCAATTTAACATTTACATAAAATACTATAAAATTCACAATATTTTTAACTACGCATTATCAGATGAACAACTAGTCTTAATTAGCTACACTGCTTTAATTAGCTCATATTTGATTCACTAAAAAGAACAGGCTCATAAGAATCATGCAATTGGGAATCGATTGGACTACACTGGTCATGCTGTATGTGTTTGATTCATAATAATATTCAGAATAAGAGTCATTCGTTCAGGAATCGGACTACACTGGTCGTGCTGTTTGTGTTTGATTCACTAAAAAGAACTGGTCTATAGGAATCCTTCATTTGGGAATCGGACTACATTGGTCGTGCAGTTTGTGTTTGATTCACTAAAAAAATCTGGTTCATAAGAGTTCAGGAATCGGACTTGTGGAGCTGCATGCTTCTGAAAAACTCATAAGAGTCATTTGCTCGAGAGTCAGACTTCACTGGTCACACTGTTGATTCACTAGTGGTGTTTCTGAATAGTAATGTAGGAAACGTTGTAAAGTATTTTAGTATGTGGTGCGCGTTAATGGAACCAAATATCATTCATCCTTTTTGTGAGAAAAAAAGATAAATAACATTTATAATATATAAAAATTAAATAAACATTTATTATTTATTTCTCTCTTCTGACTGCTGTCTTATACCTCTGTCAATTTTTTTCCCATCTTCTGAAAATTCACAGAAATACACCAGTGCATTTTCTTTTTGCAGCTGAAACAAATGGGAATGCAAAAAAATTATATACATGCTACAATCTCCCTGCTGTTCCCCTGCTATAGTTTACTACAATTTTAAATAACCTGTTCTCAGTTTTCAACCCTAGTTAAGGGTTTGTTCAAATCCTAAGTCTAAGTAATATACTAGTAATACTGATACCTGCTTCAACAAACACATCTAATGATCTAGTATACTACAACAGGCGACAATGACTGCAAAAACAACTCTTCGGTGGGATTATGCAAAAAGGAAACCTCAAAATAAAACACACCCGAGACCTCCAGCAATGCTGCCTCTAAAATCCTTTCCATTTGTGCTGGCTAATGTTGCTGCGTCCTTCAGGAAAAGACCAAAGAGCTCCGTCGAACTCTCCATGTGAGAGAATAAATCTTTGTCGCCCTTCAGTCCTTCCGT